GTCCTCGGTCCCTGTCCCCTTCCGTTGGTGAAGACTTAAAAATGTCAGCAGAATTATCCAACTGCACGTTATGGTCTTCAAGCCAGGCTAAGGCAGCTTTTACCTGCATTCCGTAAAAGGGCAAATCGCATCCTAAACATATCCAGGGGTATTTGTATTTATAGTTTGCTGCTGAGTGACATTTGCTTAGAAGCTTTAAGAGGAAGCAAATCCCGGAAAGACAGTGTACTGTAGGTCAGTTACAACCAGAGCAGGAAGAGCTAAGAAAACGCTTACCGCGGCGCTCTGCCGGCGAGCTGCTTTCTAAGCCATCTTTAGTCCTTCAGCTCTTAGCGACAATAGGTTTGGGCTCGTGTCAGTGGTCAAAAGATCTTAGCGGTCTTAATATCTTCCTGGATTTGAACATGTACATGAGCCAATGCGTGGAGCGAGAATACGGTACTGGGGACACTCATGGCCGCCTGGGTTTACACATGATCTTATTGTTCTTATTACTATCTTCTGTATTTAAAAATGTACATGGGCCAATGGAGAGAGGAGGGTGGTGGGACACTTATTGCCGCCTGGGTTTGACTCAGTTCCCTTCAGCTCCTCTGCCGGTGCATTCCTGCCACTGAGTGTATGGCAGTTTGAGATTCCGGGAATGACTGAACGTGCGAGTAATTTGAATTTTGGATTTGATTTGAGGATTTTGGATTTTGACACTGCCTGCGTGTAAAGGCCATGCATTAATCCATTAGTCCTACTTTACTCATATTTTGAAAACAAAAGATTACTGGCAGTCCTTCGCTGTAGACCCAGAGGGGAAAAAAAACTAGCCCGGGATAAAGTTCCCATCAAACTGATTCCTAATGCTGCTAAGGTTTCACTATTCCCTTTTTGCTATTTGTGCCTATCAGAGGGAAATGAACACTTACAGCTGTTAAATGTGTGTTCGCTTGCTCCATGTAGGTTCAAGAAGTTTCTGCACTCTGGAAATACGCCTCATTCATTTACTTTCCACCACCTTCCCATCACTGCTTTTCTAACCCTTTTAACTGCTTCTGCCCTTTCACACGTCTGCATGATGCATACTAATGTCTGATTTTTACGTATGTTTACCCACAGTTCATTTCCCTGCCTTGCTTAAAGCTGGTAGGGTTTAATAAGGCTCCTGAGCACGCTGCAGTTCCTGCGCTGAAAGCTTTGTGCGGGTTTTGGGGGCGACGGGCGGTGTTGAGGCATGCCGAGAGCTGTAACGTGACCCCATTCCTGTCTGTTCCCAGGTTATGGTCATGCAGGAGGGCTCTACCTCCCTGTTCGGCCAGCATATGAAGCTGCCCACTCTCCCCAGCAGCTCCCTGACACTGACCTTCTCCGACACTAAGAAGAGCAAGTCCTCTCACGGGTCAAAGGTCAGTGGGGATTTCCAGGTACAGCCTTGGACTGAATTAACCCTTGATGGCGTCTCCTCAGAGTTCCCACCTCTTCAAAGTCCCAGACTTAATCCCCCTTATTTGGCAAGTTCAGATGGTTGAAAATATTTAACTTGGGGGTTTTCAGATGTTAAACTTGTGCCTGAGCAGAGTTTTTTTGCTGAAAGTGCCGATTTTTGTAATTCCACTTTTCTTGGATGTGACCATAAGTATTGTCATAGTCAGTAGTCAGGTGAGCAGTAACAAAGCTTCTTTAAGACTTTGATACTTATTTTTTAAGACTTTGTTCACCATTTTTCAAAACATACAGTGTTTTAGAGTGGAACATGAAAGAAACATTTGTGTTTGTGAGTCTTCAGTTCTGTGGTGGTTCTGAATAGTACATGTCTAAAATTGGCATGTTGGTACCATTATGTGTTATTTTTACTCCTAAGTGGTGTCATTTACCTTCAGCTCCATCAGAATTGCTCATAAGACTGTTCAGGAGAGGCCCGGGTTACAAATGGCCCGGTGCACATGGAAACAGTTTCAAATCCAAACAGGCAGTATATGTGATGGATTACTGACTGGGCAGAGGTCAAACAGACAAAGCTGTTCCCTGCTCAGAAATCCACCATTATCTTTACAAATGTAAAATGGCAATCAATGCATTGTTGTCTTTTCCCCCTTCCGTCGGGTAATAGATTGAAGGGTAAATTTGAGTGTGGTTGGATTTGGCTTTGACTGATTGCGGCGGCAATTTGCAGACCCAGTCTTGTGTTTGTGCAGTGCTGCCTTGTTTGTTCTCTAATATTGATTGTCACACGCAAGTTTTTATTGCACAGTGGAGGCTGGATATTTTCCCCCTGCTCATTGTCAGGCTTTTGCTCCTGGCCGCTGTGTTGTCTCTGATAGATGGCGTTATGGCGATGTGTTCGTGAGCTCCCTGCAAAATGCAATGCAATTTCGGACATGCAACAATAGAATGTCTTTTGCTGTTTAGATGGGAGAAAAGAGAAATCTTCTAACAAGCATTAATTGAACAGTTTTTATGCCTTAGACGGGCTGGTATTAAAATGCTGAGGAACACCTGCGGGTCACGGAGTGTCAGATCTGTGCATGCGGTCAGGTGACACGAGCTGAGACTCGTGCTTTTCTGCTGGTTGGGGAGAACCTCTGGTGGAGCGCAGCAAAGGGGTGTCTGGGGGGGACGTCTCTGTGGCGATCTGATGATTTTTTAACATGCAGTAGTAATTGCATTTTCAGAGTTTTGAAACCACCCCCAAAGCAGAGCCCGTTTTTATATATGTATGTGTGCAGGTACTAGAACCATTTTTCATGGAAGTGAGATCCCCAGATCTCTAGCAGTGTACTGGTCATTGAGGGTACCCACCACTCCTCTTGCAATAGTGTGGTCTACAGCATATAGGGGAGGTACAGAGCCACGAAAGAAGCACAGGGGTGATATATATCCCCCGATTGGTTCTGATCTATATGCAACCTGTTTGTGAATCTTTATGGATGGTTTTGTCTTTTGGGTTATAAATTATCTGTGGCACTGATGAGACATTGACCACCACTCTGAGGTAAGCAGGAGTCTGTGGAGGCCCATGGCCCGGCCAGGCCCGTTTTGTCTGTGAGGAAGAATTGGCTTCAAGGCGAGAGGTTCTGGGGGTCAGGAGAAGATGACAAAAACTTTTTTTTTTTTTTTTTTTCTTTTTAAAGGTAGTTTAAGCAGGTCGTAACTCGCCCCACGTCTAGACTGCTTAATGGCTTTACTGCATTGATGAAATATTGACAAGGGCAAGCAGGCGTGACCCGAGGACAAACAGCCCCACCATTAAAGAGGGGCGAGATGCACTTGTCTGTCTGCAAGCTGTCCGTCAGGACACGCCGGTCGCCACATTCCCCGCACGTCTCCGCAGTTCCAAAGTCCTGCTCTTCTGAGGCGAGTTTTCTCTCCCCCAGCCCGCTGTGGCAGGGGCCACGGCAGCGGCCTCTCGAGGCTTTCCGTTTCCTGAGCCGGTCCTGCTCATTTAGCCGCTAGGATGGTATCGATTCGGGAACCCTAATCAAGCCCTCCGTGTGGGTGACCGAGCAAATCCCCTCCCCGCGCGACGGTCTTCTGAGCCGAAATCCTACAACCTCCCGTGAAGAGGCGTGCGGTTTAATCCCGGCGAATTTGCTCTTAGGTTTGTGTCTGTGTTCTCCGCCTCGTCTGCCACCTGAGGGACTGAGCCGTAGCTTTGATCAACACACACTCCAGGCTCTGGCCCCGGGGCTCCTCAAATCAATGATGCTATGATAGCTTCTCGTCCTGGTCTGAGATAATTACAACTGTCTGTGTAATGTGTCAAAGGAACCAATGAAATGTTAGTGTTTTTTTTTATTTCTGTTTGCTAAACCTGAGGTGGTTTTTCTTGATTTAGGTAGTTGTTCTTTTATGTGGTAATCCGCAGTGCTTTTCTCTAGTGCACCACAAAGCCCCTCCTTACTTGTACACAAGCCTTGCAAATACATCTTAATTCCCTTTTACTTTCTATGCGTTGCTTAATACTCGAATCTGAATCCTGCGTTGATGCCAAATTGTCTTGGGAAACCTAAGGGTCAACAAAGTACATAAGCTGCTGTATGTCTTCAGTTTGGTGGTAGGTTCAGGAGTAAAACAGAAAAAGAACACAGAAAAAGGGAGTCCACACACTGCTCTGAAGGTCCCGAGTGGTGTTATTTGCGCATACACACAACATTAACAACATTTTGTTCCTAACCTGACAAACCCTCTCAAGGGAGGGAAAGGATGTCCGTGTTTGTATGTGCAAATAGTACCTCTTGGGATCACAGGAGTGGTGTGCAAATTTAACACTGAAGCCAGCGTGCCTGTTGTAACGGCTTGTGATTTTCGCTGTAGGATGGGTCCAGAAGCGGCAGCAGCTCTCTCAACACGAGCAGCGCTAACAGCGGCAGCAGCTCTTCCAAGCTTCACAAGCCTGGAAAAGAGCACAAAGACAAGCCTCCAAAAGACTCGAAAGAGCATGAAAGTGCCTTCAGAGACTCTACCAGGGAACCCGGTAAACCTTCCAAAGACTCCTCCAAGAAACCCAAAGAGAATCAGCCGGTTAGGGATGACCGACCCATTCCTAAGATGGGCTTCAAGGAGCCCAAGGCCCTGTCCAAGGAACACAAGTCTGAGCCCCCTCCTTCTCACGGGGCGGGGCCGGGGGCGGGGAGCTTGCACCACAGCTCCAAACCTCCTGGGAAAAGGCCGCCCGTCACCGACAGCGAGGACCACGTGACCAAAAAGAGGAAGAAGGGCTTCTCTGAGGCGCCGCCCAAACCCCCGTCCGGCTCATCTCCCGCGCAGCACCACTCGGATAAAAAACTGGCGCGGGAGAAATCCCAGACACGCCCGGGTAAGCTGAAGGCGGACAGCGAGCCGGTGGAGAGGAGGAAGCCCACTGCCCTGCCGCCCTTCCACGACGTCGTGGGCCCCAACGACTCGGACGCGGAGGACATGTCCGCTAAATCAGAGGTGAGAGCCGCACCGCAGTGTGGTTATGTTTTCGCTCCTTTCAGACAGCGCTGTCATGGGAAGATCTGCAGACTGAGGTGTCAGTGGAGCATAGAGGGAATGAGCAGGGCTCATAACCAAGAAGGTTGCTGGTTCGATTCCTGGCTGGGGCACCGCTGTTGCACCTTCGGGCAACGTACCTAACCCAGAATTGCCTCAGTGAATATCCAGCTGTATAAACGGAAAACATGTAAAAACTGTAACATATGCAAGTCACTGTGAATAAGAGCATCTGCTAAATGTCTGTAATGTGAATGTAATGTCAAGAAAGTCACTCTTTCAGCTGTTGCCTAAATGATACTAATGCTTGCCGTGCCCGCACTGTTAATAAAACACCAGTGACGTTGGCTTCATTTCAACGTGTAGAAGCCCTATACATGAATGTTCCTGTGCAACACCCCGAAGCTATCTTTAATGGTCTCAGTTAGTAGCTCTGCTCACAAATATACTCCAGGGATGCTGTGCCTCACCTTTTTTTTTTTTTTTTTTGTTCCCCTGTGAGTAGAGCACTCCATTTGGAATCTATAAGGCGAGCTCAGTCAGGAGTACTTTTATAAAATAACTCTGTCAAATTATCGCCATTAACTGAAAGGACAATAAAGCGGTGCTTGTTGGAATGGAAAAAGCCTGTAGAAGGAGCGCACAGCCTGTTTAGAACCCTGACGCGAAAACTGTGTAAAAGCGCCGTAGCTCCATGTTTGTTTCACAGTCATGAGGCGTGTGCTCCTCAGCAGTGAGAAGCAAACTTTGTTAAGCTGAAACAAAAATGCCAATCTGAAGGATGAGGGAAATTTTGTAGGAGTCAGAATGTGGCTATAACAGCATCTCTGAACCGTTCTTTATTCCTGTTTTCTAAGCTGCTTATCAGTAATTGGTTGTGTTTATGTGGTCTGTGAAATGCTCCGTCTGTCTCTGTGATGTGCTGTGTCAGGTAGGGTGCCCTTTCTCTCAGTTCACTTGCCCTGTTCTTCAGATGAAACTCGCAGAATCTTATCTACAGGAGAGAAGGATGGGGGTGGGGGTAGGGAAAAGGCAAGGGATACAGACTGTTGCTACCCCTGGTCATGGGGGTTGACTAGCTTTTCATATTGGGGGTGGTGCTTGCCTCCAAAAGAAGACAGAGATGACCAGTTTTCTATACTGCACACATGCTGGCCACTCATGCAGTGACAGGATTTCTGTAATTGATATCTGAGGTATAGAGGAGTGCTGTTGAACATGGTTGAGTTTGCAGCATTACTAGGAAAGTTTGAGACACTTATGTGGGCCACCATCACACAGTCTGCCCCCCACAGTCTACTCCCAGCTGACCCCCCGTTACTCTGAACATAGGCTTGAACAGTGATAAAGTGCACATGTCAACGCAGGGTTGCATATCAAATGCCGAGGGATTATTTTTATGCATATGAAACACTAATTTTAGTATTTATTTAATATTTTATTCAGATTGCATACTTGAGTTTTGGATTTGATTCATTATTGCCTGATGTGAAAGCATCATCCCAGAAGAATGTTTTATTTTTTTTTGTACTTACTGTTGCAGTACAATACGATATTCTAGCCTGCTGGAAATGGTCTATGTTCTGACAAGCTTTTAATCTTAATAAGTGTTTAGTAAGTGCCACACGCACCAACAAAAATTTTAATGGACGTTAATGCAAACAGACATGCATTAACAGATGTCTACAAACACTTAAGTTCCTTGTTAAGTTTTGTTAATAGATTCACAGTGTCAGCTACAACAGACCTCTCTTTTTTTGTTTTTGAATGCAGTTCCCATTTGATCGCTGAAGTAGCTGTTCATGTGTGGTCTCCCCTGGCGCGAATTCCTGTCGTTACAGTACTGTGTTGTTACATGCTAACAGAAGGTGGTTTTGAGTTGATCCAGAAACATGGCCTCGGCCTACACTCCCTGCGCACTGAAATTTAACAACAAATGGAGCTCTCTTCGTGGGGTGCAGTAACTCAAACCGCCTCTTACAGGTCAGCCCTCCTGCCTGAGGCCTTTACCTGCGGGGTGTGGGTGACTTTGCACAGGCCCGTCTCTCTCGCCGACGGCCGTCTGGTGCTCTGTGCTTTAAACGCAGGGCACAGCTCTCCGCCTTGGCGACTCCTGTGGTGGTGGTGGAAGCCTCGAAAGTGCAGGTTTCTGGATATGCTGCAAAGAGGGAAACCGCTTGAACCCGCCCAGTTCCAGATAAGGCTGGGGGTGTTGCTGAACGGTCTGCGCTCGTCGTTATGCTCTTGCATTTTAGCCTCCGGCAGTGAAAAGAGCAGGGGAGGATTTCGGAACCCGCCACGGGACTCTGTGATGAATCGGCGGCCTTTTTCACAGGGTTGCCAGGTCCTCTCACGTTTGCTGCTGGGGCCCGGGGTGGGGGGGGGGGGGGGGTGGAGGTCGAGACTCGCACAAAGAGAGAGAGAGGGTGTTTTATTAGTCAGAGAGCAGGCAGGGCGATTTATAGTTTTATGGCACCGAAGGAGAATGGGACAGGACACCATGAATAGCTAAGGATTTCCCTTTAATCTTTGTGCCTGTAAAAGGAAGGGGTGGGGGGGATGCACTCGCATTTATGACGGAACGCGTTTCATTATCCTCTTTAATTCCCCCGCAGCAATGCCGAGTCGCGGTCTCTGCTTGCTTTTCCCAGCCTGCGGCGTGTCCCGGGTCGGGGATTATTCCGTCCTCGGACCGAATCCGGGGAGGAATACGGGCGATTGGCTTTACCCCCAAGCGTGAGCGTCAACTCCGGCGCTGTTAAGATCGCAAAGGCCTCCGGGGGCCTCTTTGTGCAGGCACAAATCTTCCTCCTTCCAGCCCCCTCCCCGCCATCCCAGCGTTCTCCAGCCCCCAAAACCTCCACCGCAAGCCACGGAGCAACGCTGCGGTTTGGTCGTAATCACACGCCGGGACCACCCGGGGCCCACCGCTGCTTTCACGGACTGAAAGCGTCATTTGTGGCGCTCTCCTGTGTGTGCTGTTTGGCCTCGCCCCCCACCTCCTGTTGAATGGCTTCACGCGTAATGAAGTTGAGCTGTGAAGCTGCAGAACCTGGAGGCTTTCAGGCTGCTTTCCGCAGGGCCTTGCCTTGGGGGCTTGGGAATCGCCATACCGGGTCCCCGAGTCCTTTCAAGTCCTGAGGGATCTCAGATGGCTGAAATGAGAGGGTTCCACTGACACGGCTTCCAAAGCGGAGTTTGCCTGTGACAGTTCATTTATGATTGACGTGACTGTTGCATTGTTTCTCATTACATTACATTACATTACTGGCATTTAGCAGATGCTCTTATCCAGAGTGACTTACAGAAGTTACAATTTTTTACAGCTGGATATTTACTGCTGAGCAATTCTTGGTTAAGTACCTTACCGAAGGGCACAGCAGCAGCACCCCAGTGGGGACTCGAACCGGCAACCTTTTTGGTTACGAGTCCTGCTCCTTACCATTATGCTACTTTTCACATCAGAATTGCGCAGCTCAGGAAATTTTGGGGGGTGGATCCATGAGTTGGTCTGTAAGGCTACTGAATGGATTCCTAGTTACCCTGTCAGGGTAGGAATCTCCAGCCAACAGTGACCAAACTCTGGCAGGGCTGGGCAATTGCATACAACAGAAACGGTCTCTTCACAACCTCACGGGCAGCATTCGAAGACACCATGTACCAAAATGGAATATTTTGAGCTTTTTTAAAACTCTGTGAAAATCTTGTCGGTGTGGAAAGGCATGTAAGGGGTGGGGGTGCTCAGGTCAGTCATTGCTTCAGCAATCTAAGGTGCTCCAGGTCACAGTGTAATGGCCTCACCTGGGACTCAAACCTCCCACCCCATGGCCTTGTGGTCATGAGCCCGCACACACACACACGCGATTCCCCTTCCCCACTCCCTGCAGCTCAGAGCAGCAGTGGAGTGTGAGGGCAGTGGGCCAGCAGCTCTTCCTGGCAGAGTGCTTATTAACTCCAGGGCAGAGACCCCGCTCTGATGTCCCTTGCCTCCTGTCTGATTTATTTTCGCCTGCTCCAGCAGGAGGGGAAATGGTGTAGACACAGGTAGACAGCAGGCATAACTTTAAAGACCCCTTCAGATGGTTTTCTAGTTACAGAGTTAGCGCTACGAAGAGCTGTGTTTTGCTCCATCCCTTCGCATATTTGTGTGTGTGTGTGTGTGTGTGTGTGTGTGTGTGTGTGTACTGCAGAAAGCTGTCTTATTTCCTTGGCTTCTGTTCAAGTCTGTGTTTGTGTTCCGGGTTATTTCACTCCTCTTCGTGGAAGAAAAGCCAGCTTGGTTCTGTCCTGCACTCTCCATTGAGTGCCTGCTTAAACCCTGTACAGTGAGTAGTAGCGCATGGGTAGCTTCCCCTCACTAAATGTGGGTGTGGCTCAGTGGTTAGCACTGTTGCCTCACAGCAAGAAGGTCCTGGGTTCTCCTGGCTGTCCCAGGTCCTTTCTGTGGAGTTTGCATGTTCTGTGTTTGTGTTTCCTCCGGGCGCTCCGGTTCCTCCCACCATCAAAAAAAAGACATGCATGTAAGGGTCTCTGTCAGTGCCCCTGACCAAGGCACTGGCAAAAAGAACTGGAGGTGGTCCTGGTTCTGCCCACTGCTCCTGGCTCCTGGTGTGTGTGTGCTCACTGCAAGTGTGTGTGTGTGTGTGTGCTCACAGCTCACTGTGTGTGTAGGATGGGTCAAATGCAGAGGATGAATTTCCCCATGAGGGATCAATAAAGTATATGGTTAAATGTGTTGACTGTACTCTGAGTGGCTGCCCTGGCAGTTCGACGTACATGGCATTGGTTCTTGATCAGGTGCTGCTGTGAGATATTTACCTTTCCGGAGAGAGCTGCAGCTAGCCTACCTGCATATTGTTTGTGGGAACAGAGGAGATAACTAGTGACATTTTACAGTTTTTTTAAATTTGTCTACAATGTTCCTAGTGAGAAATGGCTTTTTTGTTTTTGCTGCTTGTTTTACTACCCACCCCATAAAGCAAAATGACCGCTCCTTGTCACCCTCTTTACTGTCCCCAGCCCTACTATCTACAAAAAAGTGTGGGCTACGCTCAAGAAGACGTGTTCTTGAAGACGTGTTTTGTGATTGGAGACTATGCACCTTGTAATCAAG